TCCTGCCTTGCTTGAATCATACTAAAATGCTGACTAATTGCGCAGTTAATGCAGCAATATTTGACATCCTGCCAAGTTACCTCCTGAGATGTCTCTCCTAGTTCTATCCATAGTCAGTCCAGGGCTAACAAATGCTTGTTTTACTGCTGCTTCTGCAGTTCTCTGTTCCTGTTTCCACAGCAAAATAAAAACCTTACACAAGTCAAAGAACACAAGAAACAAGACAATGGTCTCTGTCACAAATCAGATGGCAAGTTTTTCTGGGCAGACCCTGCCAGTGAGCCTGGGAGCAGTGCCTGACTTGGGAATACAGTTCGTGAGGAATTTTGGTTTGGGAGTTTTCCACTGGAAAATGCCATAGCAAGTCTAAGAATAGGAATTAACTGTCAAGGGAGAGAAAAGCGGACACTGCGCTGAAGAACAAATATGCTGAAGTCCCTGTGCGCCTGACTAAGGCTGAGAAGTAATCCTGGATTTATCACACAATGTTGGAGTGTCCAGATACCAACCTAGGGAAGTCAATACATGTTCAAGATATTGCATAACTATTATACTTGAGCTTCTTTAATCCCATTATGTAACGAGAATACTTCTGAGACTTGGTTTCACAGGATGGGAGGAGAGATTTCCTGCATGGCTGGTCAGTAGGATGGGAACACAAGTTTCAAGGTAGCCAGCCAGAATGCTGCAGCTGTGAACCCTGGCTCACTCTTCTAGGAAAACTTCGAAGGATTTTCATATCCTTCCCAGAGCTGTAAGACTGCCAGTGTTCTTGGAGTTGACAGTGGTGGGGAAGCTGATAAAAGTAGTCCTATTAGTAACACAGGCATAGTGGGACTACTCTAAAATGACTCTCATCTCAGTGTCCTTTGCAAAGGATACTCCAGAGTGAGTCTTCAGAGGAAAGGTGCTATGAACACTGAACACTTTTTAAGAAGGTAAAATATTCCTATTGCTGTTTCAGCATCTCTGTTCAATCTCTGGCCCTGACACCTTTCTGGAGGGGAGCTGAAGTCCTGCCAGTCTCTTTTTTTTGGTTGGGTTTTTTTTCCCCCCAAGAGGAAAATGGATTAAGCCATTGTAAAACCCATCTCTACTTCAGACAAAGTGGGGGAAATCTGAGGGCTTTTCCCCCTTAGAGGGTATTAAGCAAGTTCAGACAATTTTTTCAAAATAAATATTTCTGGTTTTAAACTCCATTATTAAACTGTTCGAGCTTGCCACATTTTGAAAATTGAAACTAAAAAATTACTTATACTACTGTCCTAACAAGCCCTGCTGCAGCTGCATTTCAGCACGGCTTCTCAGAAGGACAGTAATCTCTCGCGATCGAGTGAGACAATGTTCAGTGATTCCCGCCATTAGCCCTGCTTCTGCAGGGTGCATCTTTCCTTCAAGCATTCCAGTCCTTGGCCAGCAAAGAGCCTGTGCAGCGGGAAGCTGAACCAGAAGTATCTCCAGCAGAGAAAATGCATGACAGATAAGATAGGTCTCACCCACTTCTAACCTGCAACTTTGAAGCCAGTGAAATGTTATCAGCAATAAAGTAAGTAGGATGGTTATTTAGTTTAAAGTATTTGGCTGTTTGGGGACTTAGGGAGGTGACTGAGTACAGTCCTTGTCCTACATAAATATTTGCACATCATAAATCATGGAGCCTCTCAAATATCTTCACACCCTTGCAAGAAAGATTAGTGATGCTCCACTAATGTTCCTAGGACATGCTGAATGATGGATCCCAACTTTGCCCTCTGCTTTTCACCAGTTTTGTTAAGACTTTAATTCACTGGAGGAAATTAAGTTGTACTTATGCTGTTATGCTCTTGTTTTTCCTTTCAGCTGCAGCTGAATTCAGTATGGCATCAGAAAAGACCACAAAAAAAGATCTGCTAAAGGCTGAGGAACAGCAGCAAGCGGTAGGTGCCAGGGCAGCTAGTACTCTAACATGCAACAGTTAAACTACCTGCTGACAGATAAGCTGGTAAGCTAACTTCTGTCAGCACCTCAAAACCAGGCTGGAAGTAGCAGAAAGATTAACCATATGAAGCTGTGGCTAAATCTAAACTCAATACAGAAGGTAACATTTTTGTTCAAGAGAACTTCAGGGCTGGCTCAAGTAATTCTGAAACATGAGCTGTTATAGGTCCTATTTCCACATCTGGGTTTGGTGCTGAAACCCAGTGTGACTCAGAATTGATGAGCCCAGAGCTTGAACTTTTAATCCTGGCTTGTCTAGCAATCTTTGGATGAGTCCTTTCAACTCTGAGTTTAAGAAGGATGGGGAGATGGACTGGATGTCCCCTCAGGACCTGTCTGGATAGACACATGGCTTGTATTCACTCACCAGCTTGAGGCTGGGCCTCTAATGTCCCTTACTTCTCTTGGGTTTTAGAGTGTTGTCAATCGGGTAACCAGCTTGCCCTTGCTCAACTCTGCATTCAACCTTGTCTCATCTGCCTACAACTATACCAAGGAGACGCATCCTTGCCTCAATGGTGTCTGCAATATGGCTGAGACTGTGGCTGCTGTCGCAGTAGGTAGCATGGTTGGTGGGGCACAGCCCATCCTGAACCAACTTGAGCCACAAAGTAAGTGAAGAGGCTGGAGTGACCCTTTCTACACAGAGGAATAGGTGGGGAGGGGAGTTTCACGTGCCTGTTGGGTGAAATCTCCTATAGCACACTGTGCTAGTTAATTGTAGCACTGAGTCTTCCACGTAACAGCTCCCAGCTGCTCAATGAACCCACTAAATTTCATGGACATGAAAGTGTTACTCACAGAAACAAAGTTTGGCCTCTGTGGTTTCTTTAAGTCACTAAGCAAAAACTCTGCTTTTTCTCTATCACTCTAAGTTATGAGCATCCCAACTGGTAGTAGCAGTGTCCATCTTGGATATAGCTCAGTCTGTCTCATCCCAACACTTTTCAACCCTTTAAACCAATCGCCCTACCCACCAGGGGCAAGTATTACATTCCAGTTGGAGCAATGTGCTGCCAATAGCTAGAAAGCTGGGAAGGCAAAATGGAGACTATTTGAACCTGCCAAATTGTAGGGTTTATTCACTTTTTAACAAGACATCCCCCATACACACCACCCCAGAACCAGAATAGTGACTTTTTTTTTGGCTTGCTTTCATGAGTATATCCTGAATTGGCCATTGTAGGGTCAAAAACCCCTCTCCAAATTGAAGAATAAACTGGTACCTGTTGTCTTGTCTAGTTGCACTTGTAAATGAATATGCCTGTAAAGGACTGGATCAACTGGAGGAGAGCTTGCCTTTTCTTCAACAGCCAGCAGATAAGGTAAAGTAAAGGCTTTTTCTGGGGAAGCCATGACTTGCTCTCTTGCTTGATGGAACTGTTATGGGTACAGAAGAATATGGGGAAATAAACTTCAGCATCACTGCTTTGTGAGGTCAGTCCCTGGTATGGGCTAGAGGAGGCACTGCTAGCTGATGAAAGCTGGAGAGATGCCTTCTGCATGTGGAAGTGAACATATCCATGTAAATACACATATACTGACTTCCCCAGCCCTCCCACAAGACTGCAAGCGCAATTTAGCCATATGGAAAAGCTACTTCAGGGAGGGAAAACCTATTTCAGGAAAAAAAATTTATCTTTCTGTGCCTCTCCCTGTTGTAGGTAATCTCAGACACCAAGCAGCTCGTTTCCACCAAAGTGACATCTGCTATGGATGCTGCCTGTGAGGCAAAGGAAGCAATGGCTGATAAAATGACTGAAGCTGTGGACATCACTAAAAATGTTGTTGGGGACAGTGTCAAGCTGACTAGGTCAATGGTCACCTCCACTGTTAACAGTGCTGTGGAGGCTGCTCAGGGTGCAAAGGACCTTGTGACTAACAAGGTGACAGAGGCAGTAGACCTCACTAAACACATGGTGGAAGACAGCATTGGACTGACCAAGTCTGCAGTTGCTTCTACTATTGTGAATGCTGTGGAGGCTGCCCAGGGTGCCAAGGACCTTGTGACTAACACGGTGACGGAGGCAGTAGATCTCAGTAAACACATTGTGGAGGACAGTGTTGGACTGACCAAGTCTGCAGTTGCTTCTACTGTTGTCAATGCTGTGGAGGCTGCCCAGGGTGCCAAGGACCTTCTGACTAACAAGGTGACTGAAGCCGTGGACCTCAGTAAACATATTGTAGAGGATAGTGTCGGACGGACCAAGTCTGCAGTTGCTTCTACTATCGTCAATGCTGTGGAAGCTGCCCAAGGTGCCAAGGACCTTATGACTAACAAGGTGACAGAGGCAGTAGATCTCACTAAACACATTGTGGAAGACAGTGTTGGACTGACCAAGTCTGCAGTTGCTTCTACTATTACTGCTGCTGTAGGGGCTGCCCAGGGTGCAAAGGATCTTGTGACCAACACAGTGACTGAAGCAATGGACCTAACCAAAGGGGCTGTTCAGGATGGTGTTGAGAAGACCAAATCAATGGTCACTTCTACAGTCAATACAGCTCTGGATGCTGCATATGGCACCATAACTAGCAAAATAAATACAGCCTTGGAGCAGAGCAGAGAGGCTATCCAGGAGGGTGTGGAGATGACTAATTCAGTGGTGACCAACAGCATAAGCAAAGCCAAGGCAGTGAGCCAAGCAGTGGCAGGTGGTGTAGAATCTGTCCTGGGTATATCAGAAGATCTGGTGGATCACTACCTTCCGATGACAGAGGAGGAACTAGGTGAGAAAATACTTCGCTGGCGTTTGTAAATGCAAATCCTTTCCCACGTGACTAGAGAGCACCTGACACTGCAAGACTCATCTTCTGAAGTAGACAGGTAGCTCTGAATTTGTCACCAAGTTGGCTGTCTGTCAACACTGACTTGCCACATGGTATGGGACAGAGTTCAAGCATTTGCTAGCTGGTCCTTGCCCATCAGCCTTAAGGCAAATAAACACGTGGGTGCATGCTTCAACCTATCTGTCAAGTCTGCGTATCTGAAGAGAACACATTGAGCAGGGACTAGCTTATCTTTAATGTCTGAGCAACTGCAAACCTGTACTGTTTACACAGCAAGCTTCAGCCTTCATGTTTTTCAATGGGTGATCTTACCTCTTTCCCCCTTACAGCTGGGGGAGTGGAGCACAGCTGCATCTCTGTTCTTGTTTCCTCCAGGTAAACTGGCCACCACTGTCGAGGGATTTGGTGTGGCTTCTGTGGAGGAGCAGAAACAGCAGCAGAGTTACTTTGTGCGTCTGGGTTCCCTCTCTAACAAAGTCCGCCACCGAGCCTACCAGCACTCCCTGAACAAACTGCAGCATGTTAAACAAAGCACCCAGGATACTCTCTCACGACTACAACTGGCAATAAAACTGGTACAAACACACTTTTTCCTTTTTCCTCCTGTCTGTAGTCTTCCTGCCCTACTATCCAGATGGAAGCTCTTCCTTCGTCCTGTACCAGCTGCACATCATCTTGGATCCGTCCCTGGGAGGGAAGTACTCATGCTTCTCTGATTGGTTTGCTTGCAATACAGCTGTTCCTCTCGTTTTTTCCCATCAGATTGAATCTGTGAAACAAGAGGCTGGCCAGAAGCTTCTGGATGGGCAGGAGAAGCTCCATCAGCTGTGGGTGGATTGGAGCCTGACCCAACCCAAAGGAAACCAAGTTAAAACTGCCTCCCAACCAGAGGTATCCCTAGAAGGGCTTATTTAATCAGGCCTCTTGTGGATGGTGTACATCTCATCTGCTCTAGTAACTGAGCTATGTCTCTTTCCCAGCAGGTAGAGTCACGGACTCTAGCTATGCTGCGTATCATCACCCAGCAGCTACAACCTGTTTATGAGAATCTGAAAGCCAGCATCCAAGGCCTCCCCAGCAACATCCAAGAAGCTGTGTATCAGGCCACTCGAAATATCCACAAGCTCCATAGTTCTTTTTCTAATGCTATGTCTTTCCAGGACCTCTCCAGCACCACCCTGACCCAGAGCAAGGACTGTGTGGCAGAAGCCCGAAGGTCCCTAGATGACCTGTTTGAGTACGTAACTCGGAACACCCCTCTAAACTGGCTTGTGGGTCCCTTCAGGGCAATAGCTAAAGTGTCACAGGATAGCAGAAAGCAGAAGAAGAAAGATATAGTGACTGATATAAAATCACCTGTGTTGGAAAAGACTACATCATCAAAGGAGGTGGCTAAGACACCCGAGGAACCAAAGGGAGGAAACAGGATCCTGGGGGAAGGGTGTGAAATGCTAGAGAAGCTGGAAGAGAAGGCAGAGAAAGACACAGAGGTGGCACTGGCTGCAAAGCAGATAAAAACTAATGCACCAGAGGAAGATCTCTGAAAAATTCCAGCTCTTCTGGCCAAGGCTCCCTGGCTAGAACAGCACTTTATCTTTCAATTGTATGTCCAACTGCCAATTGTGCCATGAGTGCCTCCTGCTCTCTCCCTGTCCCAGGCTGAGTTTACAGTAAGATGTAGTTTGCAAGGAGACTTGATAATCACGGTGGGGCGATTCCATATCTTGATTTACTATTTTTTAAATCATGCTGCTGCACTGAAAAGGAAGATGGGGACCTGTACTTCAGCTTTTTAAGTCAGCCCAGCTATATGTGTGAATGACTAATTTTTGCTGAGACAAGTTGTGGGAGAGAAGTGGTCTCAACTTATTTTTAATGTTAGATTTGTTTTTAATTCATCCAAGCGGCAGAGATCTTGAGAGGATGAAGTGCTTGACCTTTGATACCATTTCCCTCCTTCTACAAGTTTAAAAATATGTTACAGACATGACTTCCTTTCTGCCTGTTGTGCTTCTGGTGAGGCTCAGCCCTGCAGCAGACCAGGAACAGCTGGTGGCAAGAGGCTGCTTCTCAAAATAAGACTTCTCTTTATGGATCAGCCAAACACTTTTTCTTTCATAGAGGAACACTTAGCAAGGTGGCATTTTCTTTTAAGCATTCCAATTTGCAGTGGGATTATCTTTCCTAGTCATATAAATGACTTCAGGGATCATCTGTTTGAGTGTGAGTAACTCCGTGCATGAAACCTTTTGCAGCCATTAAGAAGCTGGCAAACAAGGCAGCTTTTGCCAGGAGTTACTCTGCCATGGTAATAGGATATCCTGTTAAAATAGGGGAGGTAGGTGCTGGTTATTTTCCCAGCAAACAATGCTTTGTAATCATTCCTCATGTAACTTATTTTGGTAACTTATGTCCTGGTGTGGTCCCTGTGCTAAGGCTGGAATAATGGCAGACTTCAGAATAAAGCGTGACCTGCGTTTAAAGAAATACCTGTCTCCTGTGTATATCTAAAGCTGCAGCATGATGTTTTTCCTTCAGCCTGAGTTGATAAGAAGCTTGTATTTAACAAATCGCTTCTCTGGGCAACTTGTATGTTTCCTAATCTTGCTGGAGGGAGAAAAATAAATTATTTTAGCAGGTCCCATGTTCTGCCTCAATCTTCAATAGAAAAGTTTCTTCACTATTTGGTCCCTAAGGCTTATGCCTGTACTCCTGAGGTTGAGCTGCATCTATACCCCTTCTGCTCTCCTCACTCTCCAGCTCAACCCTACACCCAGATCTGTCCGAAGCCTTACGTTTCTAGTCGCACTCATACTGACACTTTACAGAGGTAATGCCAACAGTCTCTCACTAGAGGGAAACGTCCATTCCCAGACCGAGCCTACCCTCACCGGCTCGGCTTTAACACCTTCAGGCGCTCTGTGGAGGACAGCCGGTACCTGCAGACGGTGCCTGGCACCAGGGTCGGGGCTAGCGCACTGCTGGGCTGTCCTCTACCACCAGCGGGAG